TATCTTAAAATCACCTGGGGCTTTTACTGAAACATTCCAAACTCCAGGACCCCTTCCTTGGATATTACGTGTCAGTCTGTTCAGACCTCGCTATGCATTTTACAACACAGAAAATTATAGACAGGCTGAACTGAATGATCTTTGAGTTTCTTTTATGTTCTACAGAAAGCAAAAGTTGAGCCAGTAGTAGAAACCAGTTGCTTGACATGAAGACAACAGAAGTGACAATTGTCTTGCCCTAGATACATTTATTACTGAGTTGAAGCATTCCATTCAGTACAAAGAGCCATAGGAAGCCCCTTGGGCAACCTCTCAGGAAGAAAATTCAGAGAAATTTCAGAATTCTTCAAGACTCAGGTCATCCAGATGTCTTCCGGAGTTAAACATTTCAGAAACAACTGGCCCGATTTCTATCCTTCCAGTGAGAAAATCACCTGTTGGCCTCCGGGCCTTGTTACTTAACTGCTGTTTCTGCTTGAAGAGGGCCCCCACTACCACACTAACCAGCCTGGCTCCTTCTGCCCCTGGAGCTCTCCTCAGATATCAATTTATCAAAGTGGCCATCCAATTCACCTGCCACTGCTCCAGGCTTATTTCCTTTTTTTTTTTTTTTTTTTTTTTGTAGTAATATGGGGATTGAACCCAGAGGTGTTGTAACATTGAGCTACATTCCCCGCCCCTTTTAAATTTTGAGACCTTTCTTATTTTGAGACCTCTTTTAAAGAGACAAGTTCTAAGTTGCTGAGACTGGCCTTGAACTTGCAATCCTCCTGCCACAGCCTCCCAAGTAGCTGCTATTCCAGTCCCCTCAACTCAGGCTAATTCTCTTTACAGAATTTAACCATTTATCTGACTGCCTCATAGACATAGTAATTCTGAAACAACATTCAGTACATTCTAGGATCAAGGAAATAATATATTTGCAACTAATGGGTTTGAGTTTCTCAACTGTTGAAAGAGTTAATATCAAAAGGTGGAAGAGTGAAAGGTACCTGGGAAATCTTCTATTGTCTGAAATTATGTGTGTTGGGGGAAGAGTGACTATATAATATAAATTATGCACAGAAAAGGGGAAATAACTACCTCAAATAATTTTGGGTTTTATTCACACGTCTGTCTCCTCAGTTCCTAGGACAGTATCTGTACTATACGTGCCAAGCCCTATTTAGTTGGATGATTTATCAATGTACACATGTATAGGAATCTATTTCCTGTGATGAATGTATTTTCAGTGYAGCAGGTGAAACATAACCAAATCAAATGGAAAACAGGCAACTTTATGATATTAAATATATTCTTTTAATTTTTCTCACACACAGTTCAAGAAAACCAGACAGCATAAGTTGGGGGGAACATGTCCAAGTCAGGAAATGGGTGTTTGCTGTGATGGACTGTGGGCTAGAAAATCARGGGCTGGCATTCAACTAAAATTCGATAAAGTATTATTATAGAGGGTGGTAATAGGTGTTTCATTTACAAGGAATTCACACAAAGGGGTTCCTGAGTGTACCCGACAGTACCATTCTGCTCCACCCCACATTCCTCAGAGCCTCGAAGGTGAGCAGAGTTCTGCAGTAAAGCTGATTCTCCTACATATTCTACCAACCATCACAAACTCATTCTTCAAAAGAAGATGGAGAGTTAGTGTCTAAAAACTGAGTAACGGAAAATGAAACCCTTCAAGGAGTGAAGGAAGGTAAAGTGGACTATGTGACTTATTTCAATAACATCCAGGCTCCATCACAAAGGCAATGTCTGGAAAATCCTAGAACATGCAAGGGGAGGAGAAAGAGGTGCATCCCATTAGGAGTGTGCCTCCTCCGACAGTCACCTGAGTCATTATGTAGTGAACAGCTGTTACCAATGGGAGYATGTGACATATTGCAAGTGTATTGAGACATTTTTAAAAATTGAGAACTGCTGCATTAAAAGACATCTTGTCAGTGAAGTCTTCAATTGACTCTCTGTCAATATTTTTCACTCTGGGATGGCTTGGGTAAAACTTTGCCCATGTTAGTCATCTAATGTCTGTTACTTTATAATGACAACCTATGTGAACACATTTTCATTTCACTTTAGAATCTTCTAAAATCAGTGTGGTACTGAGAAACTGTTATGAAATTGTAATTGATAGCACTGTTCAAAAGTATACAATAGGACGACTAACCAAACTCGATCTTGCTCTGTTGATTTAATATTTCATTTCCATCACCATACATGATGAGAAAGCAACACCAGCAAAGATTAAGAATCTAAAAATCCTTCATGCTGATCACCCACAGTCTTCCAACTATTTCTAAGCTTAACCAGAGATCATTATTTATTACTTATAAATAAGAGAATTTAAAATATTGTTGTCTCTGACATTACTAAAAAAAGCATATTTAAACTTTTCACTATAAAATTGAAGCTGCAGTAAGATGAAATGGAATCCCACAGACACTGCTGATGTGAATTCCACTAATAATATCAGATTTTTGCCAAAAAGCAAAATTTGTTGTGTAGTTTGCAATTAATGTAACAAAAATTTACCAGCCTGAATAATTTTATCTGCCTTCCCTAGAGGAAGTAAAGTGATAATAAAACTAATGAAATCATATTTCTTGACCACTTTCATCCACTATAAGTTGTTACTTGTCCTTGGAGGATTAGACTATTTACAAGGCCATTGAAGTATCTGGACTAGCTAATGGTAAAGGCAGTATTATAAGATATGGGGGTATTCCTGAGTCAGCAAAGATAATCCTGCATTGTGATGGAAGCCCCATAAGTCATTACCAAGAGCAGATCAGGGGTTGATGAGCCTCTGTTAGAATTGTTTTGCATCAGCATTTCTGTACTCCCTGAAAACACCATAAAATACTGAACTTTAATTAGTAATTCAACAAATGAGAAAATGYCTGATTTCAGTACTGTCAACCTAAATAACAGAAATGCTCCAAAGATAATGAATTTATTCAGGAATGGGCACTACAATGGGAATACTCATGTCATTGATTACATGTGTATTCAAGGAGGTTGAGGCAAAGGTACATTTTTAAGGCAAAATGAAGATTATATAAGTTGTTTTTGCAATAATAATCCTTGAGTACAAGGATCAATAATATRAGTAGCCATTAGTCCAAGGCTGAACGGGTATTAGTCAGAGGTCCTTGCAGAAGTGTTTTCTGTGTAAGGCTATAGTGTTTGTGCAAAGCTGTRGTTTTGGCAGAGTTTTTAGTGATAGTTTTTGTTGTCAGGATTCATGCATGAGATCCCCTTCTTCATCACCTTCCAGCTTTACTAATCGTTGTTGTTGTTATTTTTATCTAAGGTTTGACCCACAAGACTCTGACAACTTTCATAGTATTCAGAGTAGAAAATTCTGGAAAATGGGGGATATGATGTTAGGCAGTGAGTTGCTAAAACTTCTGGAGAGGTGATGCCAGCTTGCTTCAAGCTTGTCCCCTGGCCTTCCTGCACAAGAACCACCTGGGGGACTTGTGGTGCCCTATAGATTTCCTCTACAAAACCTACATTTACTTAGTAAAGCAGAATCCTGTTGTTCACATCAGGAATCTGTATTTGTCACAAGCTTCCCTGGGGTTTCAGACTCATGGAAGCTTGAGGATATGACATTTGACCATCTTGTTGGCAAGGTCTTTTAACGTCCTCTGCATATGAATAATATATTTGGCAGCATATTTGAAATGTTGTWAAAAAATATCAAATGTATGATATCTCTAAACATAGCACATCTGTTGCTTTCAAAGTTAACAGATGAATACAACCAATTGGAATTAGCTCACCCAGTTCCATAGTTTAATACTTCATAGTTTAATACATCATACCTGTACTGCATAATACTTTGCAGCTCAAAATGGCAACAAGAGGGCAGAACATAACAGAACACCTGACATCCCACTATAGGCTGTGGAGTTTAAAAAAAAAAAAAAAAAAAACTCTATATTCTCCAAATCAAAATGACATGCGAACTTATGTAGGACATGACTTGCTGCCCGCTTCCGGTCTTAGGGCCCCACACGTGGCTGGGATGGCTCCTGGCGATTAGGCAGGAGGCGGTGCTGTGGCTGGTGATGAAAAAGGCGGACCACCTCCAGGATAGGTCCAGGACTCTTCTGCCCTCATAGACAGCTTGTGCCTTCCCTTAGGGACTATGGGATGGGTGTACACATGAACTCGCTCCACCCCTCTGACCTTTATCCTGATTGGCTCCTGTGCAGTATATAAGAGTGTGTACTTCCTCAATACACGAGATCCGGCTTCCACTAGTCTCTCTGGCACATCTGATAGTCCTCCAGCGAAGGGAGGGCTGGGTGCGGACCACCAGTCGGGGCATGTGGGGCGTGTGGGGCGTGCGGGGCGTGCGTGCTTTCCCCTGCTTCTCCCACTGGTCAGGAGGAGATGAGGGCTAAAACCCCCCACAAACTTGCACCTTGAAAACAGAATGGACTTGTGGGAAAAGGGCTTTACAGTTTATTCCCTTCTCATTCTGGAATGTTTACCCTGTCCCCAGGGGTCTCAAAGATCCAACTTCCTGTTTCTCAGGTCCTCCTAAAGATCTTTCCTGCTCATTCTTTCGCAGTTGACAAGCTACTACTAGGCTCTTGGAAGAAGCTTTGCTACATGAATTTCATCAAATGAAGCCATTTATAAAGGTTCCATTTTTAAAAAAACTACAAGGCCAGTATGCTTAATTCAGTCATTTAAGTTAAATTGAAAATTTTGTTTTAAACACACTTAAAACTTAATGAGATATCAACTTGCTTGATTGAGTTCATGTTCCCCTTTTAAAAATCATACATTACAGAATCAGTGCACATTTGGAGTAATGTCTCCATTTAAGTGCCTTTTTGACATAAACCTACTCAAAAATGCCAAGACACCAATCATTATAACTGTTTTTGGACATCATAAGCCAGCACCATGCCACTGGCTTATGGTAGTTGGGGTGTTACAGCTTAATGTTGACATCTGGCACAAAAAGCTTACAGTCTGAATCATGTTTCTTTTTTATGTAATTCTGGCTCAGGAATCCGATACAGAGCAGCAGAGAAATAAATTATGTTGCTGAGGCTGAAGATGAGGCACAGCATTACGGCTACAGCTATCTGAGAGAAAGAGAAGGGCCTGAAGGCGGTCATGAGCCACTCCTTCCTTAGAGTCTTGTCCAGAAGTATGGCTTCCATCTGCAGGTGTGTGGCCAGGATCACGCACACGTGAAACAGCTGGTGGCTGTGACCTACAGCAAACACACAAAAGGCCATTGAGATCACTGATCAAAAGGAAGGAGTATTGACACAAACTATGACATGTTTGCTAAGAAGATGCTAAGTGAAAGAAGCCAGCAAGGGCACATATAGGATCCCATTTGCATGAAGTATTCAGAGTAGGCAAATCCACAGAGACAGAGGAGATTCATGGTTGCCTCRAGCAAAGGGTGGGAATTGGTATTCACAGTGCATGTTCTAAAATGGATTTATGGTGATGTTCAGGCAACTTGGAAAATTTACACAATATAACATTGAATTGTACAGTTGACTTTGGGAGACTCTTTAATATATAAAGTACACCTTAATAAAAGTATTTTAAAGAACAATGTGAGGGGGCTGAATGCATAGCTCAGTGGTAGAGTTTGTGTTTAATTCACACATGGGCCCTGGGTTCAATTGCCAGCAATATGAGAAAAATATGAAGACCATCAGAGCAAAATTCTTTTTCAGAACAACTTGTTTACCACACTCATTTTCCAGATGAAAAAGGAGAAAATTAGGCTGCATGTTTTTCTTGGACTGCTTACCAAGTGCTCTTCTCCCTCCTGCTGGTTAATCAGAAACGTAACCAGGAGCTCCTGTTCCCTGAAGACAGGCTGCACCCAGCTCACATATCTCATCAAAAGAGGGTGGAGCCCAGCAGAGGTGCTGGGAGTAAGCTGGGCCATGTGGTGAGTGGTGAGAAAAGGAGTCCAATGCCCAGGGTCAGAGAGTACTTTGGGTATGGGCCTCAGACACCAGGAGTGGGAGAAGAAGACCATACATGTTATGGTTTGAATATGTTGTGCCCTGAGAAATCCATATACTGATATCCTCAGAATGTGACCATATTAGGGGAGATAGGGTCTTTAGAGAATTAAGTGACAGGTCACTAGGGTGGCCYCTAATCCAGTGACCAATGTCCTTATAAAAATGGAGATTAGAACATAGACATGCACCTACACATAGAAGAAGATCACATGAAAACAGGTGGAAAAAATGGTCCACCCCAAACTAAAGAGAGACAGCGAGGTCTCTGAAGAAACCAATCCTGCCCACACCTGGATCTCAGACTTCCAGCCTCCAGAATGTGAGAAAATAACTTTGCGTTGTTCAGGCCATCCAGTCTGGGGTACTTGTATAGCAGCCTTAGCAACCTTATACAACATGAGAGTTCAAAAATGATCCTCCAATTAAAAAGAAAAAAGTCCCATATTGTACCCTCAGTACCTATCCCAGAAAAAATATTCAATAAACAAGTTAGAGATATAAGCTCAGGAGGGTTGAAGATTTACAAGCAGATGTCTACTGAATTCTTTAAAGCCCCAGTCTCATTCCCAAAAAAGAAGGTGTCGAGAGGTGCCACCCTGGCCTCACTCAAGCTGAACACATTGGCTATGTATGATTCCAATTAGTGTGTGACACAGCAAAGCAGCTTGGGGGTGATGYTCCCCAAGGACATGGCCAAGCAGAGAGCAGTGACTCACTGTGTTCACCAGTTAAGGCTCACACATGTCTCCATGAGGCCCCAAGAGAAAAGACAGAGCCACCAGCATCAGGTGTACCCAAAATTTGACAGCAGCAAGGAAAAGTGACTTCAACAGTCCTGCCTACCAGGAATTGGGGGGGCTTCCTGCAGTCATGGCTAATCAGGCCAGGCCAGCAAGTCCCATACAGGTTGGGCTCAGGGTGCTAAAAGAGAGGGATTTCCACCCCAGCAGAGTCAGTTACTTAAGGACTGAACATACCTATCATAAAGTGGTGTGCTGGCAAGTTTCTCCCTCAGGGGAGATTTTCTGCTCTGTTCTCTTAGACCAGGGGAACAGGATAGAGGTGAATTAATAGAATTCTGAGAAGCAAAATAATGCCCCTCACTATTTTTCCTGCAGTCCCCAAGACTTCATCCATACCACCTCTACTTCCTTAAAGTGGGTCTGGAAGTAGCCATGGTATGCAGGGGCCAGTTGCCACCTGTTTCCTGGCCTCTGATCCTCCTCTCTTTTGGAAATCTGACCTCTRAGCATTTTGCTAGTTCTTACCCCTTCTGCCAGAACAGAAGAAGAGGATGGAGTTTTGTCAGATCAAACAAAGCATACCTGGTCACATCTCTTAGGTGGGAGGAGGTAGAAATTCAACCAGAGACCGAACGGGCTTRGAGAAAACTAAGGGTGTTTGCCATGTTGGAGACAAAGACTGGCTCTGTGGTTTCCATGGACCTTATTTAAGGAACTTTCATCCCAAAGGCTTGTCACCTTCACCAGAAGTGACCCAAGGGTGACGTCCACTCAGCCAGCCTCAAAGCCAGGATGGGACATGAACTGCAGATCCGCATCTTGCYTTCTCAAGGCCATCTTTCTTATTCCTCTCCACAGCTGCCCCCAATGTTCATTTAATGATGGGAACCTAAGGTTCTTCCTCCTAAGGCTTCAGGTCTAGACACGCCTGCTCTCCATCCTCCCTGCTCCTACCCAGCAAAGCAYGGTGTCACATATGCTGGCCTCTGTCACCTTGCAGTGGCATTCACTTTGGCCTGAGCTTCCTCAAGATTTGCTTCTCTCCCTGCCCTTGCCTGTCCACCCTGCCACCATGGGCCTTTGCAGCCACTACACTGGTGTCAGATAGGTCCCCTCCCTGGCCAGGAGATCAACAAGAATAAATAATAACAGGGCCACAGTGCCCACTCACCAATGTAGTCAAAGCATCCAGGGGCCAGGCACTCGGGCAGGTGTGCAGAATACAAAACTGAGGCCAGGAGGGTCATGACAACGTGCTTCTGGTGGTACAAGGTGGCTTCATTTTCAATGTCCTCGTCTGGGAACAGGAAGAGCTGCAGGTGTTTTAAGAAAACAGCAGGTCTTTAGAGGAGGACAGGCCTCCGACAGGCCCTGGTCCTTCTCAGCACCTGGGGTGGAGGCCCACATACCTCAGCACCATGCAGGAACTCCACCCACCAGGCCTCCCACAGCTCTATGGCCTGGAGGAGGGACTCTCAGGGGCTGTGAGGGCAGAGCTCAGTATTACTGAGTAGGATCAAGTCAGACCCAAGACAACTGTATTTTAACCCCCATCAAACGCTCATGAGAGATGATTGGGGTTATTCAATTATACACACACACACACACACACGCACACACATAATTAGGAAAGAAAATTAGGAACAAGGAAAGTAAGAGAAAAGAAAAATCTTATTAGATATTTTACTACTCTTTCTTGGGGTGAAATATAAGTATAAAAGTGGTCTGTGGACATATGAACTCTCTTCAGCCCACACAGCCCTGGAACTGATGGTCCTGATTAAGACTTTAAGGCCTGGAGGCCTCTGAATCATTAAAGAGTATTAAGTACACCATTTCATGGTTTGAGTGTAGTTTTTGTGTTATTATGTAAATAATAACAGTAGCTACCACTTATTATGCCTTTTACATGCATCATTTAATATAAGTCTCAACAATTACCATAAAGCAGACTCCATTTTGCAGAAAAGAAATGTGGGCCAGGGAGGGATTCACAAACCTCTAATATTAGCAAAGTCAGGATCAGAATCCCAGCAGGCTGGTTCCAGGACCAATGGCACCATTTAGAATTAGACACCACCCCTCTACCACTGCCCCACTGTCTGATGCACCAAGAGCTAGAAGCGCACTGGTGACAGTGCCGAGCCCTGTGGCACACTATACTGACTTTAAGAGTGGGTCTGCACACTTCCTTAAAGAAGGAACAAAAAGAAGGGGCTGTACCCCATCTCTAGGTCTCCCCCCGACCGTATAGGGGGAGCACACAACAAGCACTCGATGCCCGAGCTGGCAGGTGGAGCTTTCCACTCCCCCTCCCAGCCAGGCCTCGCCTGCTGGGCCTTATCATGGCACCCAGACGCTGGCTCTGGGAGAGACCCCCTCCGTATGGGCTGTGTGCCAGGCATTGCTGAGCCCACTGGATCCACTGTGTGGATTGATCCTCATTACCTCCTATGAAGGAGAGATGTTAGTGTCACTTCCAGATGAAGAGCCTCAGGTTCAGAGGGTTCTGTTCACTGCCCAAGATCACACAGCCAGGGAGCAGTGGGACCAGAAGTTGAACTCAGGCCTACTTAATTTGAGAGTACATGGACTTTCCCCTTCTTATCCTACCTAAACCCTCCTCTCYTCTGTGTTCTCTGCTTAATTCCCATCTTCCTTGAAGACCTTCATTCATACCTTTTCCTTCAATTCTAAACGAGCATACATTAATCAGTGATAAGATACAATAATGCATTTATTGGACTCCTGCCATCAGTCAGCACTACACATGTCAACTCACATAATCCTCCTCACAACCCACAGTGGGTGTTAATATCTGCCCTTTTTATAGATAAAGGACATCAAGGAGCGGAGAACTTGCCCAAGGACTGGCAGCAAGGATTAGCGATTGGCCTCCAGAGCCCACCCTTGCTTACTCTACCAAACCCCAAGCTTCCTGTCCTGCCCAGCTCTGGGCCATTGCTCCTGAGCCCCCAGGCACATTGTCTCTCAGGGCCTCCATGCTCATGCCATCTCTAATCTCTGCATATGCCATCAAGGCAGCGAGATCTTGCCTCCTGTGTGTCATATGGTGTCCAGTATGGAGTTTCGACCCCCAGAAGCTCAGGAAATGACTGCCTCCTAGGTGTGCCCACAGAACGGGATGCAGCTAGGCCCTTACCCTGTAGAAGATGGGCAGGGAGTCCCAGGTGTAAGGGTAAGCAAAGGCGAGGACGCGAAGCACCTTGCAGAGACGGGGCTTCTGGATTTCAAGAAACCTAAATTGGGGAAGGAAAGGGGGAAGAAATGGAAATGAAAAGTTTCAGGCAATCACATGTGTGCACACACATGTGCACACCGAACACACCAGAAAGGCTGGCAAGCAACAGAAGACGAGCAATTTGCACCTCCTCCTGTGACCAGCCGCTTTCTCACCAGCCTCTTCCCTGGTGGAAATGACAGACCCTCAGATTGAAAAGGATGTCTGCAGAAACTTGTCCTGACACCATGAGAATCAGTGTGTCCAGACCAAGCCAGGGAGGAGACTCCTGGCAGAAACCCTACAAGTGCCAAGTCACTCAACTGCAAGGAGATTTCCGAAAGTCCAGTCACCTCCAGGACCAGGAAGGGAAGGCACTGCCATGGACCCTGTGAAGCATGCTCTATGGAGGTGAGAGGCACCTGACTCCTGGGAGCCTCCCAGGTGAGGACCATGAGGAAAACCTGGCTTCAGGTTGGCAAGCTGGCAGGRTTTCCAGACTATGATACCACACCCAGCCGCGCTGGCCAGTTTGCTCCTTCTCTCCTTCATCTCCAGTCTCTCCAACCCAACATGAACACTAGCGACACTGGTTGTTGCAGAGAGGCAGGTCCCCCTGAGGAGACCATGATAGGGCCTCAGTGGGCCCAGGGAGGGACAGCAGCTAAAGGTGTGGGAACCGGCAACACAGCTGGCAGGCTGGACACCAGGAGGACATCGATGGCCAAGGAGATTTCACACAAAACCATAGCTTGGAACTGACGCCCTGGTAAGGAAGTGCTCATGTGTCCCTGCTGGACCACCAAGGCCAGGTGTCAGGGGCCAGTACCCATTTCAATACGGCAGTGTACTGCACAAGGCTGGATTTCTCCTCGGGGACCCATGCCCTGCAGTGGGGCTGAAGGCCCAGCAGGGCGGTGTGCAGAGATTTGGCATCAAGGCCCTCAGGAGGCAGTTCAGCTGCAGTCTGAAGAAACAGTGGAAGCACTGGGGCCCTCCCAGCCTTGGATCATCATGGGCTCTGCTGGGATGGGGCCTGTGCCCTACCACTATGCCCATCTCTGCTCCCCAACCCTCTGTCCCAACCCMGGATTTGCTAAAAATTAGGCTTGAAAGGTGTTTAGAACAGCAAAGCACAGTTACTAAAATGCAGTAAATGTGTGTGGCTCTACCCTCACCCCCATCTCAGAGCCATGTTGGACCAGGCCTTTCTCCCTCACTACCTACTGCTCCTACTGAGCTGGGCCCACCTCCCCAGGACAGGCTGTTCATGTTACTTAAGAGCCAGCATGTACACCTGTGTGCATATCCCACTGCTGTCCATACCATCTGATAGACTCACATCTGACTGGGGAACCTTCTTCAAGGGCAGACACTGGATCTGGTCAGGTCGGGATTCCCCAAACCCAGCCCAGAACTGTGCCTGAGGATCAATTTCTAGGCCAGTGTATTCTTCCCAGTCCTCAGGGAAGCCAGGCCAATTAGTCTTCATGAGGACCCCCTGCTTGAGGGTAGGAGGAGGACACCATAGGCCCTGTGGAGCCCATAGCTCCAGAGACAGCTTCACTCAAGACCACAGGCAAGTATCTTCTTTCCTGTCTGTGCCCATAAAACAGGAAGCACGTGGTAGGTTCCAGGTACAGAAAAGGGATACTTAGGGAGAAAGAAGAGAAGGAGCTGGAGGAGAAGTGCCCTTGATTCATCATCACCTTATCCAAGAACCACAGCCTTGGACAGCACTGCAGGCATCTGGRGAAGGGAGGCTGCACAGAGCTGTGATCTCGCCCCTCAGGACCCTGTGACTATGACAGGTTTCCTGATCTTTTGTGCCTCCAAGGCCTTGGGCGTAGTCTAGGGTCAATGACTTCCTCCTTCACAGTGTTAAGGTTTTGCTAAAAATGAGGCTTGAAAGGTGTTTAGAACAGCAAAGCACAGTTACTAAAATGCAATAAATGTGTGTGGCTCTACCCYCAYCCCCATCTCAGAGCCATGTTGGACCAGCAAAAAGGAATTGGAGGAAAGTCAGGCTGGGTGATCTGCGTAAAGTCAGATGAGCTAATAAGAGACAAAGCTAGGTTTAAACTAGGACTGTGGACCTCTCTGGTTTCACACTGCCCTCTGCCTGCCCCAGAAGGCCCAGCCTTTGCTCTTCCCAACAGCCTCTGCCCCCGAGGCCAGACGGAGCACACTCACACTGCCCTAATGGCCCGGGCACCTGCCCCTGCTGCCTTTTCAGTCTACCCTGGCTGTGCACTGCCACCACTTGCCAGCTCTGGGGAAAAGACTCGCCCTAAAGTGCATTCCTTGCAGCCACTTACGAAGAAATCTGGCTCTGGATGGTGAGGGCCATCCCCCAAAGCATGGATTTCCTGTGACTTGAGACAACATTTCGCCTCCCCAGGGGCCAGGGGCATCGGACCAGCCTCTCCAGCCGCAAATCCGAGTCTATAGGAGGAAAAAAAAAAAGGAGAAAAAAGCAGAACAGGAGAGAGAAGGCAACAGAGGAAAAAGCAGAAAAGCCAGTAGCCACCRAGGTGCCTCCCACTATCAAGATGCAATTCCACATCAAGCCACAAGGTGCCGCCACAGCCAGAGATTCCAGGAGTGAGTGCCAGGCATCCTGTGAGCAGCCACAGAACCCTCCAAAGCCTCCAAGCCCCACAAGTGTCCAAAGCCCACCCTGTGTAACTCCCTGCACCCGAGGGTCAAACAGATAGTTAGTAGGAATTCAGGAATACTCTTCCCACATGAGACCAGCAGGAAATACTGGATTTGGGGAGAAGCCTGGCTTAAAGGGTTGGGTCAATAAGTGTGGTAACAAAGCTGTAAGGAATTCTGGAACTAGGGCCTGGAACTAATGGGGATTTATAAAAATCCCTCTATTGCAGAAGGGTGTGTGTGTGTGTGTGTGTGTGTGTGTGTTTATATTTTGTGACTGTGTGTGTGGGGGGGGTCAGGTCCCTCTTTGCCTTCTGAACAAGGCTCCTCGGCCTCCAGAAGTGTCTAGAACCATGTCTGCTGAGTCTCTACCCTGGGCTCTGGCCTCCAAGCCACTCCCAGGCCAGTTCATGCCCCTGCACCACCACAGCCTCCTCCTCCTAGCATCACTCTCGTGGTGTAGCTCACTGTGTACCCAGCATGAAGATTAATCTCTTCCCTCATAGCACTGACCACAGGCCATTTCACACAGCAACTTTGTCAAATAAATAAATAAATAAATAAATATTGGCTGGACGTGCGGGACAGATGATTCACAGTGACTTGTGCCGCGTGGCAAACACTGCATAAGTAGCATTCCTACAGGGAGTGAGGCTGCGCTGTTGGGCTGCTGGGCAGTTGGCAGGCCAGCATCCTGATCTCCCCGATGCAGAGAGGGTGCACATTCCCCCTCCACCCCTTCAAATGCTATAGAATGGGAAAGAATGTTCTTCTGGAACATGCTTCCTTGAACTAAGTTCCTTGGTATTACGAACCAAAACACCACTCAGGGCACTACAGTCCCCCATGTCGAGATGGACCCTAATGGTTTGAACAGCACTGGAGCAAGTGCCGTGAACCCACGACCTCTGCTGGGCCTGTGAACGCCCAGGTTCCTGGTCCTGTTAGAGCTGTGGGAGGGGAAGGGGCTCAGCAGAGCTCTAACTGCTAGAGCTGAAGGGAGAGGCAGGGCTGGGTCTGGGGAGGAAGACACTGTGGCACAGGCACTGCAGGACACCCAGCCAGATGGAACCTGCCCTGGTGAAAGGGGAGCAGGAGGGATCCAGGCCCTCCTCTCCACCTCCTTAACAGGAAGTCACTCAGGGCCAGCGTGTCTCTCACTCCCCAATACCAGTCATCTTTCTCACTCTCCAGACTCTTATGCAGAGTGAGCCAATGGGGACTGAGGAGGTTAGGCCTGGTGAGTGCAGGGAAACCACCATGGATATGGGAACATGGGAAGAGGACAAGGTGTGATAGAACCCAAAGAGCCCTGCTGGGACGCCCATTCTCCTTTCCTCTTCCTGCACAGCCCCAAAGCTGCTCTGCAGCAGCTGCAGAAGCCAGAAGCCAAGCCGAGGAAAGTCTCTTCCCAGGAGATCAATGTCTGTCTTGAGCAAAGGAAATGTCCTCAGAGGACACAGCTTGTGTCCTCTCTGCAGCCCGCCCTCCAGGCCCTCCTAGTGCTCTCCCCTCCCCTTCAAAAACTCCTCACCTCTTCCAACCTGTCCTGTCTTTTCCATGACCACCACCCTCATCCAGGCTGATCCTCCTTTCGTCCTCTCCAGCTCAACCAGCTTCCTCCCAGGCTCATTCCTGAGGTCACTCCCTGGGGCCCTGTACAGGTCATTTTGCATCTGCATTACTGTTTCCCCTACCCTGTCCTGCTGCCCTAAAGGGCTTTTGKGGAGGCCTGTAATCTGCCTCTCCTTGGTACCCTCTGAAGCCAGGGCAGCCATTTACTCCTCCCAGTATTCCCAGCCTGGCAGGCTTTAAGGAAGGTGGGGTGGGTGAGTGGATGGGTAGAGGGGAGGATGGCTGGAACAGCCGCAGATGTGCTCCATTCATAGACAGAATAAACTATTCCCTTGTCAAGGAGGGAGGRCCCCAAACATGGGCATTCAGGAGATTCTTGGCCCAGCTGCCAGGCAAACAAGCTCATCCAAACACACCAGGCATACCAAATCCAAAGGCCATCCACCACAGCTGAACGTCAGGGAGACTGGGGCTGGAAGAAAACAAACTCTCCTGGTAGTTGCAGGTGATTAAGAGAGATTAAAAAAAAAGTGACAAATGATCCAAGAATTTGCTTTCTGAGTTCTTGGAAAGCAGTTTTGACCCATTAACTCTGGGGATGTTTCTTCCATGCCCATGAAGCCACCTCTGTCCCCTCATCCCTGTGCTCACCCTCCTCTAATGCAGAAGTCCAAACGCCTCAGGTCTCCAGGAATCAACCTGACAGGAACAGTGATGTATGTGTCCAAGGACTAGGCCCCCGGTGTGTCCCTGAGGGGGTATTACTTTATTCTCTGCCTCTGTGGGTGGACACTGGCTCCTYACAACTTTAGGGGAGCTCTGGATTTCCAGGAAGGGAAGGAAGCTTACCCCAGCACACACTCCTGCTCCCAGCAACTCCCTGGGGAGGAARCCACGCACAATCCAGTGTTGAGCCCGTGCCAGCAAGGAGCACCCGCTCCCATTAAAAGCAACTCCACACCTCTGCCCCATCTCAGTGCAGGCAAATGAAGTCAAGTGGGGGCRGATGTTCYTGCTGCTGCTGCTGCTGAAGAATCTATCCTTCCACATATTCAAAAAAACCCGTTTGTCGGGTTTGTGAAATGCCTACTTTCCCTTGATCCTACAAAACCCAAGGAAATGGGAGCCTGGAGAAGTTACAAGGGCACACCTCGCATACCTGTTCTTCCTGGGGGAGACAGTGGAGGGCTTCAGGTGTTCCAAATGGAGCGCAATGGCTTCCTGAGATTGTAGTTGGGGGACAAGAACCAAGGGGGCAATCTGCAGCCTACCTTGATGCCTTTTCTGACCTGCTGCTACCTAGGACCTCAGCACTATCTGGACAGGGCTGTCACCCTGATACAGCCCTGTGGAAGGTCCCCTGACCTTCCACATTATTACAGGGAACCTGAGCTTTTGGAAAATAAACTTTTGCCAAGAGGTATAGAAATTAGTGTACTTGTCCCCATAACAACGCCTCTCTCATTCACATCCCAAGGGATTTTCTTGAGCAAAAGGGAAAAGAACAGTGGGAATTAGAGGCAGTGAGCTGGGTGTGACCCACAGCCATGGGGATGAACTGGGCATTTGACTATCATGCGTCATCCACCACACACGCAGAGAGGCAGGCCCCCTCCGTTGCTATGAGAGGTAGATTGCCTGTTTACAAGGCACCTCCACCATCTGGGCTTGTGAGAGGCATCCTGGGAACATTACCTGTCATTCTCACGCCCATCTCAGAAGGCAGATGAATTGGCCCTGCTTTATAAATGAGCAACCGAAGTTCAAGGGGGCTAAGTGACTTGCCTAGTAAAGTCAGCTACATCATTTATAGGAACCAGTACAGTATCGAAGTGGGGGACACTCTTGTTCCAAAATCACTAAGAATTTCAGAGCATTAAACCAAGCATGGGCTCTTCTGAGCAAGGGGCCTTGTGGGGCAGCACCTGTGCACACCTATAGTGCTCAGCAACAGGGGATCCACCTGGAATGGAGACAGGCTCCCGGTGCCCTTTCCGCCCAGCCAACCTCCTCCACGGACCCCTCAAATGCCACGGAGTTGCATGCTAAGCCCCCCTCCCTCTCCGCCCATCTGAATTCAGAGAGCCTGGTACCTGGAGTAGCAGGAAAGGCCGGTGCTGAGGATGGTGTTCAGCACRGCCAGCACTATGTAGTAGTCATGGAAGGGGGTTTGCACCAGCGCTTCAGGAAACGTATATGCAGAGTAGGCGATGGCTGAGCCTGGGAAGAAAAACCAACATGGGAACAAAGCCAGGCCTCGGCACTGGGTGAATCCCTAGAAAGACTATCCCCCACCCCCACCCCGTCTTAGCCCTCATCATCCCACAGACCCGGGAGCAGGCCTCCCCCTGTACCCTCCCAGAATGCTCACCCCTTGCTCCTCTTCTTACTTAAGTCTTATCCTGAGACTTGCCTGTAATTTAGTATTCCTCCATTTTTGCATACTTTAACTCATTTAATCTCTATCCCCATCCTCCCACATAAAGCTTACACTTATCCTCAGTTTACAGATGAGAAAATAGAGGCACAGAAACGTTTAGCAATTCATTCAGGATCACACAGCCAGAAAGTAGCAAAGCCAAGCTTCAAACCTAGGCAGCTGGGTGAGAAAGTTCCCGAGTTTTTGATTTGTTTGTTTGCAGTGTTGGGGATTGAACCCAGGGCCTCATACTTGCTGGGCAAGTGCTCTACCACAGACCTACATCTCCAGCCCTTTTCATTTTTTAATTTAAAAAAGGCCTTGCATAGCTACTGAGGCTGGTCTTTAACTTGCGGTCCTCCTGCCTTGGCCTCCCAAGTTGCTGGGATTACAGGCATGTGCCAATGCACCCAGCTGTCCCTGCTCTTAACTCTGTGCTATTGCTGGTGGAGACAGCCCAGAGTGCTCAGCTTTTCTTTCAGGAACATGCATACTTCACCTGCCCAAGGGCAGGTGCTTCCTATGGGCAGGTCAGTGTGAGGGGGCAGACCCTCCCTGAGAAGAAGCTGGAGACTGTCTGGCTGTGAGGYTAGATAAGGTTGTTTTTTTTTAGGTGTTGGAATCTGTGAGAGGTGTGACCCCYAGGACCTTCCAGAGACCAATTGGCTGAGACTTTTATTTGCAACCACAGGGGAGACAATTGTCCTTCACAAAGGGGCCAGCACCTGCATGCACTCACTTGAGCCTATCCCTCTGGAATGGGTGACCACAGGCCTGTCAGGCCAGACACTGAGGGATCAGGTTCAAGGACCCTGTTCTTCCTAGACATTGAGAACCTTGAAATTCCAGCTTGGGCCAGGAACAGGCCCCAGCCTCTCGGGTCCAAYCTCTGCCTTTTACCACATTTGGCTGCTGGATCTAGTGAAATTGGTCACACAGGTGGAAAGGGCTGAGAGTTGCCCTCCTGGTACCATGTACCACGCTCTCCAGGGCAGCAGCTGCCTATRAGGTGTTAGCTGGGAACCACTCCAGGGGAGCACACAAGGGCTTTTCCAGGCTGACACTAGGAGAAGACGCCCACCTAGACCTGGATGCTATGAACTTAGTGGATGCCAACTGGAGCCCAGCTGTGTGGGCAATACAGGAGTCAGGGGGCTTCAGACCCTGCCCAGAACTACCAAGGAGTGGGGCAGCAGGCTCCAGGATCTGGACAATTAAGCACCATGTTATGACATGTGTCAGGTGTCAGCAGAGAACTGGCCTCTCAGCAATTACTCAAAATGCTCTCATCAAAAATGAGCCTAAAGGAAGCCGCCAGGCTGGGGAGTTTGGACTTCATTCCAGGTAACGAAGGGCCTGAAAGTTCACAGTGGGAGGGGAGAYGTGGGAGAAGGTGTTGCAAAAGCCTCCAGGGCATCTGGGTGGACCTGGAGAGCCTGTGGCCACCATTCAGCCGAGAGGCCCAGGCGTGGGTCCTAGCCAAGACTRTGGGGCAGAGCCCCTTGAAGGGTGCGTAGGAAAGACCCTCAACTGACCTGATCACCCATTAGGTGGATGGTGCAAGAGGAGACAGGGCAGAAGAGCAGGGTTACTACAGAGTTCTGACTTGAATGAGCAGGAGCGGTGGGCACTGGCCGGGGCGGGTATGGGAGAGGGGACAGATGAGGGGCAGGGTGGGGGGAGGATGCAGACAGTCTTGGTCTCAGGCTTGGAGCTGTCAGGAACGTCAGGTCCACAGTTCAAAGATGGAGTTTGGGAGCACCTTGGTCAGAGGAGATAAGGGATGGTGTGGGCAGCAGCCAGGAGCTGGGCCATGTAGAGAAGAGGCGAGAGGGTCAATTCTGAGCAAGCTCATCTATGGAGGAGAACAGAGGCAGGGCTAGCAGAACAGGAAGAACCAGGGGGAGGGTGCTGCAGGAGAGGCCCCTGCGTCAAAGGCTGGYGAGAGCCCAGGAGAGACGGCCACGAAGCCAGTGTGCACCCTGACGACAAGCACAAGGTKGGGGCCTTGGCAACCTGTGTTGGTGAGGGTGGGGACTGGACAGCAGAGCCCTAGGAGTGGCAGKAAGGGGGTCACTTAATCACCTCCAGGATCCTCCTGGACAACTCGCGTGAAAGGGAAGACAGCGATTGGCTTTCAACCCACAGCAGGAGCAGGAGGGACGAAGAGGCTAGAACCAGGGTSCTGGGGGATGAAGGATGCCATAAGTAGAGGAGAGAGGAACAGGCAGGAGTCTAAGAAAAAGATGGAGTCGGAGACGCCAACACCCATGTCACCAACAGGTTTGCAGCTCTGTTCCTGWGGCACTTTGAACGGGCCTCTAACACCTCTAAGACTCAGGACAAAGGAGGTTCCGTTCGTGACCCCTCACCCATGTTCTCTACCAGGCATGACAGAGACCAGTCCTGATGTGCTGGAGTCTGCCTGTCCTGGCTGGTAAGAGCTGATTATGAAAGTTTCAGAGTCTTGCAAGTCTACTGTTAGCGCAGCTACCATCAAAATCAAGCTACATAAGCTTACAATTAGGTAAATTGTGTTAACAGAAGTCTTAAGTTCTCATTGCATACATCTATAAATATCTGTGTGGTGGAAATACTATGTAATGGTGTGTGCCTGYGTGCATCTCCTCCCCAGTGTCAAAGAAAAACAGAGAGATGTTGGGGGCATCATACTGAGAGCCTGAAGTAGCCACACAGAGAGCATTTATACCACAGAAGCACACGAACGGACGAGAGAGCTTCTTACAAAACCCTCATCAGGAGCCTGGACAGAGATCCTGGAATTCCTGAGACTCCTACACACCCATCAAAGCCTCATGGTGGCCCTGCCCACAGGGGAAGGGGYGAATGGCTGGGTCTCAGGGGAGAAGACTCACATACCCAGGCTGAAGAGGTTGACGGCACCATAGTCCAGGAAGTAGCAGATGTGCCGGGCATTCTTGGACATACAGCTGAAGGTGTGTGCACAGCTGGATGCGAGAGGGTACACGCAGCTGGTACACATGTACACAAGCAGAGGCCATGAATAGGTATCATTCTGGATGTCTGTCACATATAGTGCTGTCACAAACCTCCACACAAAGAACCTGGAACACAGCAAGGGGCCCCTGAAGCTCTGTGGCTGGGAACYTCTAAACTCTCCACCCGACCCTCCCCTGCTTTCCATTCTCCTAGGATGACCAATTCCTATGAGTTCTCACTTTGGTGAAGTGCCATGTGCTGGAGAGGGTGGAAGGGGCCTTTTGGACTTAAGAAGCAGTAAATTAGAAATGGGCAGGTGGGGTGGGTAAGAAGAGAGCCTTTTTAGGTCTATCTAATCCAATCCTCTCCCTGCYACAGGGTGATGGAATTTCTTTCATGGCATCTTGTCCAAGTGATTCTCCAGCCTTGGCTTGCACGCCTCCAAGGATGGTGGGCTCACCACCTCCCATGGCAATTCCTAGTGCTAGCAAGTTTAAAGATATGGCACAGTCCTATGTTAGATCTGCCTAACCTGCAACCCACATATGGGGTCCCACCTGTACAGCACCTCACTTCCACAAATCATTCATGAAGAATAGGTTCCCTTTCCTACTAACTCCTCCAAAGATGGAGACTCTACAGAGCATGTTCACAAGGAACTGAAGGAGGTTCCCTAAACCCTTCTGGCTACATGTTTTCATCCTGCCTCAGCAGAAGTAAAGCTTAAGCTATTTGTTCTTTCCCAAAACATATCCTTTCATCACCTCGGGATCATTTCATCATTCCATTTCCTTAAGGCATTTGGACACAGGCTTTCCCAGGCCCTTCCGGCTGGTCTGTGTTGTGCAATTGGGATGGTCTCTGAGAGCCTGGCACATGTACGGCAGCGGTATGCAGTGGGGTAGCTCAGCCAGGTTGGCTCAGCTGTAAAAYAGCTAAAAGTCCTCCCATAGGGATCTGTTCACAGACCTCAAGACCCACAAGCAAGGRTGGGCACTCTGTAATGGTATCAAATCTCAAAACAACTGACATCAATCATGGTTCATCCACAAAACAGAACTCTCATTCTGAAACMGGAGAGACTTGGGTCCAGTGAGACCTCCACGTGAGACAGCAGGAGAGCAATGGGAGAAAATATGCCAAAGTTGGGGGTGCACAAGCCAACGTTGCTCAGGCTCCCTAGAGCAGCTCAGGAGGATGCACAGGAAACAGGCAGCTGCAGGGAGAATGAGGGCCGGAAAGACCCTAACTTGATTCCCTTCTGCAATGCTACAATTTATTAGCATGCAGRCTTTTTATAGAAGCAAAAAGTTTAAATGACAAAAGGCGTCCTTGAGTAGGAACTTGCCATCCTGCCCAGTCCTCAGGCCCCAGGGCTGTCAGGCTTCTTCTCCCTACTCTACCCCAAGACTGAGCTTTCTCTCTCCTCCACCAGGGTGGCTGCTGGGACCAGCCTTCCCCTGCATGTYGGCCCTGGGTCTGTCTTTTGCCTTCCGTCAGGCTGACTACCTGCATGCCAGAGCACAGTGGGCTCCCTCAGGCCTCTCTCCACTCAGCACGCTCTGGGATCCCCTGTCTCTTTCATAGAGTCTGGGGGTCCAGGACCCACCTGTGCCTCAACTCTGCTATGCAATATAAAGAAGACACCCTTCTCTGGCTGCATCTGTCAGCTGACAGTGGTCTGAGTGGGACAGTGGCCCAAATGACCTATGAGGTCCTCCCTGCCCTAACATACTATTTGTAGTTCTGAATCTTGGGATTCAACTAACCATGAATCAAAAATATCCAGGGAGAGGAAATATGTGACTGCATTGAGCATGTAGATTTTTTTTTGTCATTATTCTCTAAATAGCATACCATATCACGTACAGAGCATACACAATGTATTAAATATTATAAGTAATCTGSAGAAGATTCAAAGTATATGGGAGGATGTGCATAGGGGATAGGAAAATGCTATGCCATTTTTATATAAGGAGGCATCCATTCACAGATTGTGGTWTCTGCAGAGGTCCTGAAGCAATCTACTACAGACACTGGGGACTTCTGACTGCACTATGTCTGTGCTGTGGTCCTGTCTTAGGGCGAACTCATCCATGAGGTGTGTGAAGTTGGTCCGGGGCCCACCTTTCTCAGCAAGGCCCTTCTGGCCTTCCTGAAACTCCCAATCCTGGGTTCATGCTTCCCGGAGCCTTGCTCTTAGCTGACTGTATTAGAGCACTGCCTGACCAAGGGCCTGCCCATTGCTGTGGTTCCAGAACAATTATGAACCTACTGCTCTGTGCCCGATGCCTTTAACCATTTTCTCCCTGTCCTCCCTGCAACCTTGAAAAAGGTACAGACCATCACGACTGCTTTGAGGGGAAAATGAGATATTAAGTGATCTGCTCAAGCTAGTGACATTTTAACTAGAGATACTGGTTACTGGATTCCCGAAGACCTGCAAAACTGCCAGGACTAAAGGGGATGAAGATAAATACTACTGAATCAAGGAAGGGCCTGGGAGCTCCAGAAGCCCCTGGAATCCAGCCACAATCCACGAGCTAAGCTCATTCCATGGAGCACCCAGCTTCTCCTTCTGCCACAAGGTCACCTGCCCCCCATAGAGGAATCCCCCAATCTCAGCCCTCCCAATCCCAACTAATCCTCAGGGACCCTAGATGAGATGGGCTGGTCCAGGGCACTGGAAGATACCAGAAGGGCAGCAAGTGAGTCCAGATGTTGAGGGTCTCATTGGTCATTTGGAAAAGGCTGAGGACACAGGCTGTGGCGGAGCTCTGTGGATGCCGGTAGCCAAAGAGGATGCCCCGCTCATGGAACACCTGCAGAGGGACAACAAAGGGCACAGAGGTGAGAAAAGAGGGCCGCCTGARGGTCTCCAGAGGAGTATCTCTGGTGGGCATCATGTTTTCTCCTAGTCTGTGCACTGTTAGCCTGGGACCCTTGAATAATTCCCTGGCCTGTCAAACTGCTATCCTCTCTCCCTCTTTCCCTCATTCCCTCCTGTGAGCTTCTAGAATCCCAAGTCCTCCAAAAGTCTCCAGCCAGCTAGAGGAGAGAAGCCAGGAGCCAGGATCTCTTTGGGAATGCAGCCTATCTGCCTTCCCAGTCGCTCTTACTCTTGGCATGAATGTTGCCTAGGAATCCGTTTTTGCACCTTCTGCCTGGGGCCTACAGCCCAGTCTTTGTGGTTGGCTAACATATATGCTGCCTGTCTGAGCCAACATGCCCCAGATGTCAGGGGCTGGTGGAGATCTCTGCAAAAGATACCCCTGTGCCAGAAGACAGTCACAAAGCACTTCATAAAGGCTAYTGATGATGAGGACTATGATGCCGACGCCTGGCCTGTGGAAGAGGAGGCTGATCGCAGCAGGTCCCACAGCGCCACCCCAGCCTAGGCAGCTCACTTGGCAAGTCCCTCCAAACACCCCAATCAGAAACATGAACAGGTCAGCCCACCTCAGGTATCCTATTACATCCATCAAAAAAACGGTAACAGAGAGGACAATGCAAGAGGGACAACAGCTCTGGATGCAATGAGTGATGACAAKTGGAATATGAGTTGAACCCCTGCCAGGATCATAAGGGCTGTGGAAGTGTAAGTATTCATGGTGGAGCAGAGGCTGGGCCGAACATGGAAGAACGAAGAGTTTGATTGTCAAGGTATTAGCACTAAGACAACCCCGCACTCCTTTGTGTTGAGCAAGGTTTTCACTGRCATTGTGGCCAAATAGTTCCTGGGGGCAGGGTGGGGGCTGGCCTGTGCATCATCTAGAGATACACATGGCCTCTATCTACTGGATGCCAGTGGCTCTCACTGTGCCCACTACCACCCCAACCAAGTGGTGAAAACCAAAAAATGTCTCAAGATATGGCCAAATGTCCCCCATGGGCAACATCTCCTCCAGTTCAGAGCCACTAATTTATATGAATATTGACATAACCTTTGAAAGGTAAATGATAAACTAGAGGCTTGATTGAAGCAATCGATAACGATGATAACATTAGTCATCGTGATGTAAGCCAGGTCAGGACGCATTTAAAAGTTTCCTTTGCTTTTTCAACTTCAGGAGGATGCAAAGGCTGGAGAAACTCCACCCCATCTCTCACTTGGGTCACCAACTTCTTCATTAAGAGAGGCCTCCTTTTAAAAATAGGACAGGCTGGGGCCAAGCTCAGTGGTAGAACACACAYGTAGCACCCATGAGGCCCAGGTTCCACCCCAGTACATGTGAGGTCTAGTGGGTGCTGGCTCTTGAGGTTCCCACAGGACAATAAAGAAAGTAAGGGGCTGCCAGAGCAGAGTCAGATTTCAGTCCCCAAGGTGCCATGTGCCTTTGGGCTGGGCCGCAACACTTGGGATCTCAAAATCCTCATCTGTAAAGTGGGAAGGCACTGGCAGGAAGGTGAACAGGTTCCCTCTCAGCAGCAGCTCTGAGTTTCGGGGACCTGTTAGTTTGACTCTGGGTAAAACTAGTCAACCGGGGAGGGAAGATAATGCAGTTGGCTCATGGCCCCATGAAGTAATGAGCTAGTTTGGGTCATGACTAASTAAAGTGATATGTTCTGGTTTTTGGTTCACCATTCAATTCTGATGTCCCTGGATTACAGTGAAGACTCTTCTAGTGGGCAGCAGGAATCTTTTTTWAAAAAGTATTTATTTAGTTGTAGATAAACACAGTTTCTTTATTTTTATTTTTATGTGGTGCTGAGGATCGAACCCAGTGCCTCACATATGCAAGGCAAGTGCTTTACCGCTGAGCTACAGTCCTAGACCTGGTGGCAGGAATCTTGATTRGCAGTTTCCCACTGCTCCAGGGCTAACAACAAGGGGGCAAATGGGCCACCAGCCTCAGCCTTTGATGCATACGGAGGAGGACAGAGCCTGCATGGTGGCATTYGGAAGGCCCCTGGCAGAAAACAGGCTCCCAGGAGCTTCCCACTGGTCCTATCATTCCACTTTTCAAGTTTTTCTCTTTCTTCCTTAAAAAAAAWTTTTAAGTAAATTAAAGCATTAGCTGCTTATTAAAATGCAAAGACTCTACGAAAGGAGCAATTACTATTAATTATTCACTCCTTCACATGAAGTAATTAAGGAGAGCCTCATTAAAAAAATTAATACTAAAGCACAGTAAGAAAGACCATTCAGGACCATTGCATTAGATGTAAGACCTCTGCAATGGGCTAGCAGAGGGGGAGAGAGAAAGGGCTTAACGTGGAACACAGCATGGTCAAGTGGGAATTGACAGCCAAGGAGCAGGGTAGGGTCAGTAGACGAAAATAGCTAAGCAGGAGTTGCAGGGAACCTGGTTAAACTGACCTGACAGGATGCTTACTGAAGAAGACCAGTGTGATCAGACCTCGCCTGGCCCCTGGTGGAGGATGAAGAACCTGGTCAGGTGTGGATGGTGACCAGCCATCAAAGACGGGGCCTTCTGGTTGTGCTAACTTATCAGCATTCTTTTGTGAAAGCTGAATTTCACAAAGAATACACATATGGGCCTGAGAGAAGGCTCAGAAGTCTGACTAWATTTTGACCAAGCCAAGAATCATTGTCCCGTATGGCAAGAGACCTTGTGACCAAGAGCCAGTGAGTGAAAACTCTGCAGAGCCCTGGCCTGTGAGGGTGGGTGGCCCACAAGGGGGCAGGGCGGAGTTGCAGAGGAGCTACCAGGGTGACAGCCACTGTGGGCAGCAGCTTAGCGGGCGCTGGAGGAAGAGACTACCCACATTCTGCTCAGGGAGACTCCTGGCATTCTGGCTGCCGAAAGCAGGTGTTGGCCTACTCAAAAGTCAGAGAGGAACAGCAGAGCTGGACAACTTGGCCACACTTGGGAATCTGGTGCCTGACATGGGGAGGATATTTTGCAACCAAAGTCAGGGCTAGGCACAGATTAAAAGAACCTGCCTCCATCCTGACCCCAAACATGGATGGGCCAGGTCAACACCAAACCATGCAATAGGGGCAGGTATAGAGCAGCATCTGCAAAACAATAGCAGCTGAATGAAGAAAGGGAGCTTCTCTGGGTAGAGAAGCTCCAACTCAGAATGAGAAGCTCCGCCTGTCCCTGCTGGTCCCCAACCTGAGCCTCTCTTTACTGGACCATATTGCTCATGCTTAGACCCATTCCTGCTCTGAGCAACTTTGAGCCCAGGAAAGGTGACCAGTTCTCTCCTTCTTGCCCCTCTAGCCTTAGCAAAGTGCTCTGCACAGAGTAAATCTTCACAGAACACGTGCCGTGTATATCAAGACAGCAAATGAAACATTTGAAAACAGTGACATATTCCAAATCCRGTTTGACCCCAAAGGCAAATTGTAATCATTGCCTCAACACGCTGAAGCCTGGCTTCATTTCTAAGCACCCCMAAGTTAACAGGCACCTGCTTATTTGCACACTGGAATTGATTTGTAGGACTCCACTTTGCATCCCTGGTTTCAGGCTGGGCAAATTTAGAGTGAAATGAAATCAAATCATGTGCAGCCTATTATTTAGAAGTGAGAACCCCCAGGCACTGGGGGTGGAAGAGCACATCAGTAAGTGTTCCCTTTTAGAGCCTGCCACAGGCRCAGCATTGGGGAAGGCTCCCAGCATGCCAAGCGCCCCACCCGCTACTTGCTAGCTTATGCCTGAAATCCCACCACGACAGTTTTAAGCTTTTAAGCCATTTGATTTTTTTAGCTATTGAACTGAAAATAACCTGGGGAAAATAACTGAGCATTTCTGGCAAGTGGCATAAGAGCAGATTTTGATAGCGGGGAAAAAAAGAAAGAGCAGAGTAGAATGAGGAAGCAGGCCAGCACTTTTAGTATGTACTCTGCATTTCCTGTCCAAATCTCATCAAATTCTTTTAAGGAAAAGCCTTTTTTTTTTTTTTTTCTGGAGGGGGGGCGTAAAAGGGGATTGAACGCAGGGGCACTCAACCACTGAGCCACATCCCCAGCCCTATTTAGTATTTTATTTAGAGACAGGATCTCACTGAGCTGCTTAGGGCCTTGCTAAGTTGCCAAGGCTGGCTTTAAACTTGCGGTTCTGCAGTCTCAGCCTCCGGAGCTGTTGGGATTACAGGCATGCACCACTGCACCAGGCAAGACAGGATCTTTCTAAATTGCCCAACCTCCCAAGCCACTGGGATTACAGGCATCCGCCACCCCTCCCGGCCAAGGAAAAGCCCTTTATTGCCCCCATTTTTTTCAGAAAAGGAAACTGAGGCCTGGGAAGCTTAGGGCATTTATCCAACTTCCTGGAAGCAGTGAAATTAAAGCTCAAAATGCAACTATCAGACTCCCCTTCTCTGGTCTCTAGTGCATTATCAGTCTCGCTGCTGCTAAGAAGGGCTCTGTTGAGACACGGGAATCTCATCCTTGACCTGTGGCATGACTTGGGACGTAATGTATATCTCTGAGCCTCAATTTGTCCTCCTCCTCCTCCTCCCCCACTCCCCCTATCCCTCCTCCACCTTCTCCTCCTTCTTCTTTTGGTGGTAGCACCAGAGATTGAACCCAGGGCCTCGTGCACACTAGGTAAATGCTCTACCACTGAGTCACATCTTCAGCCCATTTTAAAACTTTGAGACAGACAAGATCTGGCTAAATTGCCCAAGCTGATCTCAAACTTTTGATCCTCCTGTCTCAGTCTCCCAGGTTGCTGGGATTACAGGTATGTGCCACTGCAGTTAGCCAGTTTCTTCTTTAAAGTGCTGTTCTGGGCTGATCTGTGTCCTCCTCAAATTCATTTGTTGAAGTCCTAAACCTGAAGTACCTCAGGATGTAACCGTGTTTGTCGATAAGGTCTTTTATGAGGTGACTTAGGAAAGCAAGCGCATTAGAGTGAGTCCTGATCCACTCTGGCTAGTGTCTTTCATAAGAGGCATTTTGAATGCACAGAGAAGCACAAGAGCATGCTTGCAGAAGGAGACCTGTGAAGAGGAAGCAAGAGGGCAAACATGTGAGGTCTTAGAAGAAACTAAMCCGCTGAGACCTTGATCTTGGCCTTCCAGCCCCCAGCACTGTGATAAAATAAGTCTCTGCAGTTTAAGCCATCCAGGCTGTGGGATTTTGTCATGGCAGCCCTAGAAGATTTTTCACAAGTGTTGAGGTTGGGCGACACGTTTCCTAAGCCAGCGTTTC